GGTCAGAGTTGTAGGAGGCACAAGAAAAAAAAGATCTCCACTAGGAAAATACTCTTGTTCAAGCCTAGAATTTGAAAGCCCCACATTATTCTGTGTTTAGATTGGATGTGGAGTGTGTACTTTGACCATGATTCTAGACTTAATTAACTAATGGTATGGACTTTGACTCCAGTATCAGAATGAATGTGAAGACTGGTAAGATTCAGAAGTACGAGGAAGGCGCGAAGAACTCTTATAACGTTGTAATTTTTCTCCAGTTGTACTGAAAATATTTAGGAAAGATTTCAGAGAGAAAAAAGAATTCAAGAACTCCTAGGGTCCTTGTTTATTATAGTACAATACCAGTCTGTCTGCACATTGCTTTTGGTGGAAGACCTGCATGTAGCTTTGGCTTCTTGAGATGAGATTATTTCCTGGTGCTTTAATGAAAGTCCTTCCACAATTACATAGTTGATTCTAAATTTTCAAATCTATTATTGAAAATACAGTGGAGTTTGTCACCTAAATTAATATTTTATATCCCATGTAGGCTGTCAGTTTAGCTGCAAGAATCAGTTCATCTCTTATATTTGCTGGTACCTTGATGAGAAGGTATCTCTGTAAGAATTATCAATTCATGGTACTATTTAGCACTCAGCAACGTAAAGTGTCCATAAACCTGATGACTGAGATGATTGATTAAAGTCTTTACATAGCTCTTCCCTTGAGATCTCTAAAGCAGGAGGAATTAAGCATGTTACTGGAAATGCAGAAAGCATTGATCATTTGAACAGACCTGGAATGAATTTTTTTCATTCCTATTGCTTTGGTCCAAAATGTTAAAAACGAACTAAAAAGGTTAAACCCTATATGCTTTTTTTTGCCCATGTTTACAAGCTCATGTGAAAGTTCAAATGCTTTAAAATGGTTTTGATGGAAATATTTAGCTTATAAAAATAAATAGGCTTAACCTATTTAAAGTTAGTTATTGTTTTAAAATTGTTTTATTGCTATTGTTTTGTTTCTCTTTGGTTTACATCATCTTGTAGAGCTCAGATTTGTTAGCTTGTGTTTACATATTAGCTTTTTTCAGGGCCTGGCAGATCATGAATAATGCTCAGTAAAACCTTAGACAATTCATTTAACTGCCTTGGTGTCAATTTCATTAACTGTAAATGAATATGTTGCAGATGATCCCTTAGGACAACAATTCTGAAATTGGAGGTGAGGTGACAGAAGAAAGGTGACTTTCAAATTCTGTTCCCCTCATTGCATCTAAGAAGATTCTACTATAAGTGTATATTGCAAATGGCTTCAAAGTAGACAAAAGTCATAATCCTTTTTTGGCCCCTCATTGCTTTAAGAATTTGTGATCCTGTGTTCATAACCTTTCCATAGTATTTCCCCTCAGCAAAGCCAAATGACTCATTTTTACAAAACTAAGTCTCCTTTGATCCTGTCAGTTGCTAAAGAAAGAGGCAAAAGCACTTTTAAATGTTGAAATGAGAGAACTCCATAATTTTGACTCCTGTTTACTGATGTACGTTTTCTTCATTTTTATTCAAAAAGTAATTTTGCCTTCATACTAAATGAAAGGAGAACTTTTTTTCGTAACCCCCTCAGAGAAATGCAAAGGGGAGTTTCATTTTTAGCCTGTATTAACTGTTATTTTTTAACCTTTTTTTTAACCTTTTTTTTAAAAACCTTCTTTCTTTGTAACACATTGACTCACACCTCCTGTGTGTGTGTGTATTTAATTTTACATATATCTTGGCATTAGTTTACTAAAAAAGAAAGCAGTTCAGACTTTGAAAAGTAAACTTTGTGGCTTGCTTATTTTTTTAATCCCACTTATTTTATTCTAATCAAAGAAAAATATTTTAAGCTATCTATTTTCAACATTCCTGCCTGCTATTATCTTGACTCTAATTGCCTAGTTTCCCTTCTGGCTGATCTATTGCTCGCCTTTATCTGGATGTTATTAAAGAATATAAATGCTCCATAGAGCACCATAGTCCCAGCCAGAATGTTTTCAGATTCTTAGCTAAAATGAAACCGAACTAGTGGTTTGGCTGTTTAGTAAGTAGCTCAGATTTGTTGTCAGAAAGTACAAGGGATTCTAAATTCACTGTTCATTGTTCCTGAGATGTGGCATTTGAAAAATAGCTTCAGCTGTTTATGGATTATGGTCCTTGGGCACCAGATAGTGGATGTTGGAATGTATTGCAGAAAAGCTGATTAAAGTACTAGAGTCTCCAAAGGTAAAAGTAGAAAGTCATTTGTAATACCTGTGCCTGACTCTGTCCGGTGCACTTATATGGTTCCTTTAGAAAGCTTTAGTTTATTATCATCTTATCCATGCAGGAATAACATTTTTGTAAAAATGTGCCTTTTGGAGAAAACATTAATAAACAGTACTTGACGAGAAGCTATGTAGGTAGACTGATTTGAACTTTGAAAATCCTAAATACCTTGCACTTTTATTATCTAGCCTATCAGAGTCTTGTTTCACTATGACTCAGATTTCAGTAGTAGCTACTTCAGTTCCCAATTTTCATGTGTTGTGACTGTTAATCAGGGAATTTACACTTACTCCAAAATATAAACTGTGTCAGAATTCATTGTCTCTCCCCACCCCCTATCTCTTGGGCCACTTTTCTCCCCAACAACAGTTCACAGAAGTAGAGTCTAGAGATATTTTATTACACAATTATTACACAATATACAGGTCTTTAAATGTACTTTGTACCCCTCTTGTTAAGATAGTTCAATATTTCTTTATTGTTTTGGAAATAAAGTTCAGACTTCTTAGCCATTCGTGATCTGTTCCTTTCCTTCCCTTTCCCCTGCAGTGTGAGTATGAGTGTGAGTGTGGTTTCAGGCTTTCAGAGCTACTGTTTCCGTTGTTGTTGTTGTTGTTGTTGACTTTGGTTGCTTGCTTCTCCTTTACCCCCACCCCCTTTTTTTTTAACCTGAGTATTACTTGCTCTTCCTTCAAAACTCTGCATACATTTCCCCTCTTCCAGTAAACCTTCCTTGAACCACAGTTACCCTGCCTCTTATTAATCTCAGACTAGCCTTTAAGCTGTTTATGGCTTTCACAAGATTGTTTTCATACTCTACCAGAATCTTCTGCTTGTCTGGCTCACTTAAGAAACTAATATTCCTTGAGTTCAGAGATGATAGTAATGTGTTGTGGTTTTGAATCTGGCATATAGGGCTTTCAAATAAATGTTTGTTGACTGACTGGATGACTTCTATAGATAATCTCATAATTTGACTTACTTTGCTCCTGATCCTTGAGGCATCTGAGAGTATGGGTTATGTCGTTTTCCTCACAAGGAGCTTTTTAAATTGACTCACTCACTTCTATGTTGCCACCTAAAATGTGTAGTAAAGGTAGGTCTTTGGCTTTTGGAAGACAAAACCTTATTGGCTGAGAGGTATAGTAATATAAATCTTAAAACTGTCAGTCATTTAAAGAATGTGGAATACAACATATGGGAAATTGGAAAGACCAACTCTATGATGATGAATGATACATTCTAACTTATCCATGTATATTGTTGAACCTGGGACTTCAGTGGTATATAAAATTCCCTTAGGAGAGAATAGATATTTACTGCGTTTTTCCTTATTTGAAAACAACTGTTTACAGTTTCTAGATTTTAATGTATCTTAATATGAGAAGCAAGACAAAGTTTAAACTAAAAGAATATTTGCTATGATGGGTTAGAGAATTTAAGCGTGTACTTGGTTGTCCTTAGGTGTGTTAAGAGTATTTGCATCAATATTCTTCATTCTGTAAAAAAACAGAAACAAAATGCAAAGAAATCCATATTTATAAATGATATGATGTTTACAATACTTTAAACTTATTAATAGAATATAACATTTTCATTTAATCTAAATGAAATTTTTTTCTCTTATGTATGCTGAATATTTGCTTTCATGTAATTATTTGCTTAGACATTTTGTATAATTATTTCTCTAATGATACAGCAAACTGAGTCAGCACATTATAGCTGAATCATAGTTCTGGCTCTTCTTTTTATTTATTGAATGAACAAACACTGTATTGTTAAAATTCCTTGTCCTTCAACTGAGCTTGCAAAAGAAGCTTATTTGTTAGATCTTGAATACTCTAAGAAATGTGTATCAAAGGTTTGAAATGATATACCTATTTTCAGTCTGATATTTTAAAAAATAGAAGGGAGCAAAATTATCCACATCTCAATAGTTGGCTCTCTGCTTATTCTCAGAGACCCCAGCCTCCTTTAAAAAATAATTTTAAGGGTTTCTTGTTTATTAAAATTTGGCATTGAATTTGTATAAAGTCTGAAGGCTGCAGCATGTTAGAATATTTTTGTCATTTAAGAACATATTCACTGTTTTGGTGTTTGGAGCACTGCCTCCAAGAGGTTCATAGCATTTGGTACGGAGTTCACGTATTTCTAGTCTACGGACCTACCCTATTGAGGCAAAAGCTTCATGATGCTCATGTATTTTTTTCTACTGCTATAATGCTCAGCAACGGTAATTAATTTTTTTTGAAAAAACTTTCCATGCCATTACAAATAAAACTGAGGCTTTTTTTGAAGGCTAGTAATTTGTACCTTTAAAGAGCCACATTATTTTGCTTTTGTCTCAGAATGTATTATGCTTCACAAGTATACTGTGACAGCCTGAATAGGAAAGGGGGGAGGGGACATTGTCTTCAGCTGGCATGCTGTTATCAGAGGGAATGTGTTTCTGGACACGAGATTTAGCATTCATTGGTTGTCTGAAGAAAGCTATTTCATCTGAGGATTGGACAAGAAGCTGCGTCAATTTGCTGCCCGTCTCCAAGGCACTGGTGATGCTGCCTTCACAAGCTGGCTAACGTCACGGCTCCATCACCCAGCGGGGTGTGGACTCTCTTTTTCTGTTCTTCTCTATTTAATTCTCTATTTGCTGCCTACTGCATTTCTTAATCTGTCTTCTGCCAAATGCTAACAGCATGATATTTTGCAATCATCTAGGTGAATACAAGAAAGACGAACTCCTAGAAGCTGCTAGGTAAGTGATTCCATTCATTTTAAGTGAGTATAATGCATGTAAGGGAGAAAAGGGGGAGGGCAGGTGGAGGACTATAAAAATTATAACATGTTATTGTCTCGCTTGAATTTTGCGCGATAATGCGGATAAGACCTTATACTCAATCTCCGTATACTTTATTTTACATGACTAGTTTATTAAATGATAGAGTTGTGCAACATGGTGAAGATTATAAGGTTAATTTTATTTGGAACATTTCTCAAGGTACCTGCAGACCTTAGTTGCCCAGCTTTTCGGAAGATCTTCTTGGGAGTATTTAAAAACCTATCTCTTCATTATTCTCTGAATATTTCTCTAGCAAAGCTTGACTGGGGAGTATAAAGTAAATGTTAAAATTCTCATCCATTTTCTTTTGTTCTTGGTCATTTATAATTTAATTAATTGGCTTTTTTCATCATTTTGTATGTATTTTTAAGTCCAGTGTTTTAGGTCACTTATCAAAATAAAGTTTGTAATTAAGAAGGTGACTCGATGCAGATAAATAAATAAAAATGTAGAAAGCTATATTATTAGAGATGTACCACTGATTGATGATTAACAGGAATTAATTAGGAATATGTTAATTTAATTCATCATACCAAAAGAGATTCATTGAGAGCCGTATATAAGAAATCAAAACAAACCCATATTATTTTCCTTCCGAAAAATGTCCATAAAGATTCATAAAAACTCCCTACTATCATAGGAATTGACTTACTACCTTTTTGCAGGAGTGGTAATGAAGAAAAACTAATGGCTTTACTGACTCCTCTAAATGTGAATTGCCACGCAAGTGATGGGCGAAAGGTAAGTTATTTAATATCTCCGTTCAACAATTTCTTCTTGCTTTATACTGAAAATTTTGAAGTTGGCATATATGTACATTTAACTATTTTTCCTGGCATCTTTTCACCATAAAATGAAACGCTGCGTATCTTGTTATTGGCAGTTGTGAGATATTCATAGAGCTGGTGAAGCATGGTTTTAAGCCTTTTCTCTTAAATGTCAGACACTGAAAGTTGTTTGTTAAATAGAACTGCAGCTTTGTCGGTGATTAAAATTATAGCAACATGTATTATTTTCTATGTATGATCATAGACATTGGAAATATTTGTTTATGTCCCATTTTACCTGTCTTTGTTAGGATATTTGCATTTTTGATTTCCTGTTTGGCAGAGGATGATTTGTTTGCTAGATACCAACAGTTTTTTCATTTAAAGCTGAGAAAATGCTAACAGTTTTTAGATATGCAACAGCATATCTGCTGCTCTTTTGTTTCTTATTTTTCTACTGGCTATGTTTTTATCATGGTATATTGAAAGAGAGTAGATTAAAAAGGAGAGAAATAGTCTGCACTAATTTACAGTTGTTACAAACGTAAGGTATATATAAAATGTATAGCTGGCATCTTTATTACATGCTCTGTATTCTTGCTGAATATAGGCTGAAATGTAACCCTTCACAGCCTTTGGTAATTGACTGCAAAGTTTTGCAGTGATTTCTCTAATAGATATCGAAAAACAAAGCACTCTGTATTGTAAAGCCTTGTTTAAAAATGACAGCTCATATTTTCATATTTAAGGATAGCTTTTGTATTTTAAAAGTGTAAAATATTTCTGAAGTTACACTGTAAATATTGAGAACATCATTTGTGTCTAGTATTTAAAGAATTCATTTCTTTGAAATTATTTTATAGTGAAAATGTGCTGTGGAAAATATCAGGCTGGAGGGTACACCCCGTAGATACCGTGTCTTTATAGTCCTCCACACAGTGTTCCCTTCCAGTGAAACCGGTATCGCAGTGGCAAGGAACTGAATGAGCCCTCCCCTCCGAATGTATGTTATCTGTTATTATAGGTGGTTTGTATATTATTTCACGTGGCCTACTGAGCGTCCAGTTTCTCTGGATAATTTAGGGACAGACTTCTACTTTAATGGAAGGTTAAATTATGCATATATCAAGCTATAAAGTAGCAGAGATTTACTCAGTATTTTTAATGACTTTTGGGAGATGTTTTTAAATGATAACTGCTCCTTTTTTTCCTTCAATTTTGAAGTTGCTTTGGGGATTTTAACATTCTTGAGCTACTTTGAGCTCCAGATTTTGTTTGGATCCTCTCAGTAAATAAAGTGACTTTTATCACAGTGCAGAAGAGGGCCTTCTTACTATGGTAAGTGTAGCTATGTCTTTAGCTAGAACTCGTCTGGAGCCCCGCCTACTCCGTTTTCCGTAGTCATTTTAATATTACAGACTTGCTGTGAGAGGACTCCAGCAGGAGTCGATTCCCACCCCTGCCTCCCATCATCACCCTCGTACCTCACCAGTCCCATTTGTAGCTGTAGCTCAGGAAGTCATAAGAATTAAGGAGCACGAACGCTGATAATTAACAAATTACCTCTTCTCCCTGCCTCACCCCCTGCCTAACTATATAAGCTCCTTTATTTTCCTTTCTGCCCAAAGGAGAATACACTTCCCTCATTCCTTTAGCTGGAACCAGTGGATTCCTTACCCAAATTCCTCTGGCTCCTTTTCTGTATTATTCTATGGCATTTACCACCGAGTTTGCTCCTCTGTTCGTCCATTAGCTCTTTGAATTTTGCACTGGACCAAGCCTGGTACCGTGCAGGTAGCCAGAATCTTAGGAGATGACTATGCTCCTTAATAGACATGATTTTATCCTCTGAGCGAAAAATCATCTGTGCTCTTTTCCATTTAGAAAATGAATTCACAAGTGTGTAAATAGGGGGTTTTATATTTTCTATTATTATATGTTACTACTAGTATTATTTTACTAATTTATTTTTGTTTATTATATCCTGAAGGAAAACTACATTTTAAAAACATGTTTCACAAATTATTATTTTGCTGTAGGATTCATACCATATAAGTAATGCAGTAATTCTCCAGAATGGGCTCCTATACTTTTTTAGATTATTAATTTGCTCCAATTAGATAGAAAAATAAAATTAGATGTAAACATTTATTAGGTTTTGGTGCTATGCATATAACATAAAAAAATAAGTCACAGTTGTGCATTAGTATGCAAAATGCAAATAAATTTTCATAATTAAAATTGAATTATGTTCATATTACCCTTATTTATAGCACAGAGTAGTCCTTATTAAATGTGCCAGCTACAATGGCACAGTGGCACACAAAGTGGCAAATATTCTGGCTAATGGAGATTGGGGTAAGATCCTTTAGTTGGTCTCAAGAAAATGTGTAAGGAAATCTAGTTGTGAAATTACAAGTCTGTCTTATGTATTTCATATTTTTTCAGGCCATTGTCCTGTGTTTATCTACAATTAGGAAATCAGATTGCATATTAACAAAAGGGTAAAGGAACTTTACATATATAGTAAGTTAGGTATATAAAGTTTTATTTCTTAAATTTGCATTTTAGAGCACAATACTGAATCAAACTTATTTTTAACGGGTTTCTAAATGACTGTATTAATGCTTCACTGAATCCGTGCTGGTCTCTGTTTTTACTATGATTCCTGGTTTGTAAATTTAAAAAGCCCTGATTTGTCCATTTAAAACTTGACATGGAAATGTCAATTCCATAATGGTTTTAGAAAAGAAATGTTCTTTATACGTTAACTGGTAGGTGTAGAATTTGCCTTGGATATATGCGGGGGTTTTAAACTACAGCGTTCCGCTTTAATGCAATACGTGGGGTTATACAATGACAATGTAACTTTTCAATAGCCTTTAATTCTAATACTGTCACTTGGTGATTATCTAATTAGGTAATAAATAAGTGGTTAATGTTTTTATTTCCCACAGACATTTGTTTTTCTAACCTGTAGAATTCTGAAAATAGTGAAGTACCAATAAGGTTTTAAGTAATTTATGTTGTTATTTTGCATGTAAATCAAAGTGGAGCTTGGCTACTCTAGAAATTTCCAGTTGTTTTTTCCCAAAAAAAAACCAAAGACAATATTTTTTTGTAATGTTTTGTTCTAAAATTCCACTTTTATACACTTACATACACATTCAAATGATGACCACTTTAGAAACATAGGGACATAGATAGAAGTTATTCTTCAATCTCCTACCCATTATGACTAGACAGAACATTCTACGGTTCCTTATTTTGAACTGCAGAGAAATGCAACTAAATTTTTCAAACAGATTATTCCCTTTCTAGAATTCTTTTTTCCTACGTTTACAAGCTTAGATTTGTAGTTCTTTAATCTCCCTTTACAGTATTTTCTGTTTATGTTTTATTAGCAATTAGCCAAATAATTGTTTACCTGTAACTTTAAGTTTACAGGTGGTCGTGGTCTCTTGTTTTTCAATATTGATTTTCATAGGGATGCCTTTATACAGTGAATAAAAAATAATTGAATACATCTCAGAATATTCCAGTACTCAACCCTCTTCAGAGTTCTTTTTGGTCCCCTTTGTGCCATTCCCCTTTCTTGTCTGCCTTATCCCCTTCCAAAATAAATGGTCTGCGGTCATCTCCTCCTTGTAATAAGGCCATAGAGTTGAGCATTACTGTGCTCATTCCTAAACAGGAGTATATACCTTTGCATGCATGTATGGTGCCTACCGTTGATATAATTGTATGTCACCAAATAATGAAAGTAACTCATATTTGGCTGGTAATTTCTGGTATTTCAGGCTTCTTTGTGTTCCTTTCACCCATTCAACCAGCACCCAGTACTTACAGCGTATAGGTCACTGTGCTAAGAGTCCTGGGAGATACATACGTGTTTACCGGTAGTGGTTTCCATGGATAGAATGATTAAGACATCATCCAGTATGAAACATTAAAAAAAAACCCGCCACGCTCCCTGTGGCTTCCTTTGTGGGGCACCTGAGTAGCTCACTCACTTACGCATCTGACTTCATCTCAGGTCATGATCTCACGGTTTGTAGGTTCGAGCTCCGCATCAGACTGCACTGGCAGTGTGGAGTCCGCTTTGGATTCTCCTTCTCTCCTCTCTCTCTGCCTCTCCCCTGCTCATTCCTTTTCTCTCTCTCTCTCAAGATAAATAAACAAACAACAAAAAAAAGACATTGTCCAGTATGTTGAAGCTAATTCTCTAAAAAATATATATATATGATTCCTTTTGCAGTGATACAATTAAAACATTTATCTATTTTTGAGAGACAGAGTGCAGGCAGGGGAGGGACAGAGAGAGAGGGAGACACAGAATCCGAAGCAGGCTCCAGGCTCTGAGCTGTCAGCACAGAGCCCGACACGGGGCTGGAACCCATGAACCGTAAGATCATGACCTGAGCTGAAGTCTGATGCTTAACCAACTGAGCTACCAGTTGATATGCTGTGATACAGTTATAAAGTGTAGATTTAAGGTGGGTGTTTGGCGGGGGTGGGGGAGGACATTTTAAAGCATTGGTTTTTAGATAATGGATCCTCTTCTCTAAGAAACCACAGATTTAGATGAACAGACAGTTGGAGAGCATGATTTAAACTCAGAAAGATTAACTGAAGGGTATCTTTAAATGTCACATTTCTACTGTGTAAATATTTGCTTCCATAAAACAGTTAATAAGGAGTAAAATTCTGGAAACAGAGAAAAGTGTTTAAAAACTATTTTTTAATAGAGATCAATCAGAAATAAAGTAGAATTTAATGCCATCCCTTGAAGATACCATAAAGAATTATTTAGTTGAAAGAGCAAATAGGCTTTAAGGTCAGACAGATTGGGTTCTCTTCTCTGTTGTTCCACTTTCTAAGTGTGGAAGTATGGCTCTGTAGTTTTCAATGCATTCATTTGTAAGTGGAGATAATCAGACTCATTCCACAAGGTAGTCGAGAGGATGAAGTGAA